ATTAAGTAATAACATTACATAAAACATATATCTTTATTTTTTTTCTTTTTGTATATTGAATTTAATTGTTAAAAGAAAACTTCAAAAAAAATGATTGTAAGTAGAATGAAGAAAAGGCGAAAAAAATATATAGGATATGTGGACAATGGGAAAGTAACAAAAGAAATTAGAAAAAAGGAATAAGAATGTTTGAGGATATCGAGGCTCGTAAATTGTACTATGGAAATTAAATAGTGACAGATCATAGCCTTAAGAGGATGATAAAGGAATTAAGTGACTGATATAATATGTGCACACAGGATATTAATATATTCGTATAAGAAATCTTTGAAAATGTTAATTCTAGAAGCAAAAACAAACATAAAATGGATATATTTGCTTAAGCTTATTTAATTATTTATTATAAGCTACTTAAATGATTATTAAGTAATATGAAGTAAAGTAGAGACAGAATAAGATATTTTCATTGTATTTTTTATTGTATCGTTATTTCATTCTATTTCCGTCTCATTTTATTTAATACAAATTTAAATAGTTTAATAGTTTTAAGTTTATAACTTAAAAAAAAATTTCAATTCCCATTTATATAACTATATAACTAACTCTTATATTCATTTTAATCGTGTCTTACAAATATATTAATATGTTTAATAAAACTGATAATTTTATTTATTGATAAAAAGGCATGCTTCATCCATTTTGATGATTTTAAAATATGTTTATAAAAGATAAAATTTTAAACAAAGTCTTATTCCTACATAAACATGATTGCCGTTCGGTCTTAATTTTCGAAATATTTGCAAAGTTACTACAATTACATTCAATTTCATGACAATATGTATGCATGCAATTACCATTTATCAACATTTATATCATACGGTTGTATAACGGGTGAGCTAATATCAGCATACTTTATATCTATCCAGTGAGAGCTTGAAACTTGGCATTCCCCGAATGTAAAAGTATTAAAAGTGATGATGTTACCCGTTATACATTTTGAGTGTCAGATATCGTGATATGTTTGTATAAATATTTGATATGATGATTGCATACTGTCATATGTCGTATATATCATATGGACGCACACATATATGTAGATATCAGCAATGGTAGCAAAAGTTTTTTACAATAACTTGGAAACTGAATAGTTTTATAAAAAGGAAAAAATATTCAAAATGATGCTGTGTAACATACATTAAAGATTTATAAAAAGAGAGTTAATTGAGAATGAATTGATATATATTAACATATATATTTTATTTGCATAAATTTTCTATACTGAATTAAGATAATGATTAATTTATTAATTAATATGTTAGAATTATTCATGCAATTAATTTAAACTTGAGAAAATTAAAATGTGTATTATTGATCAAGCTATGTTAAACTTGTATATTATATGCATCAATTTATAATTTTTCCTTTGTGCATTAAATTGTATCCTCTTAAAGTTTATTAAATAATATGTTGTTACAATAAGCTTATAATTTGATGATGACGATATAATTACAAAATATTATGTGATAATAAGTTTAACTTGTATGTTGTTATTATAAAATCTTTAACATTACAAAAATTGGTATCTAATAATATTTAATTTACAAATGAAAGAAATAACAGTATGGTTAATGAGTTGACATTAGTTTTTCAATTTTTTTAACTGAATTAATTTATAATATATGCCGATATCGAATTTTTTAAATAGTGTATTGTCAATACATACATAAATTTATACAATTACTGTGCTATCTCTTAGAAATCCCATGAAATATGTTTTAAAGTATGGTTTGACATTATTGAAATCCGATAAAGTTGTAGACGAGAAACATGTGTAAAGTTTCCTACAGTAGCCACAAGCTCCCACGAGTCAGCTTAGAGAAGTATTTACGAACTTCATAAAATTCTATTGAATTTCTTTAAGTGTTGAGCGATCATGGAAACTGTTGAAGATATATTTTATACGACTCCTATCGGGACCGCTTTAGCTATCAAAATTGTAAGATATGTGTATAAGTTCGGTTTTCGATAAAACTCAAAACACGTAGTCCTTATGCACCATGAACTCGAACGTTTATTTATTCGTCGAAACGTAAACCTTTGAACACTCTCTCTTTTTTTGTTTGGTTTCCTACATTCGAAGACACTTTCAATATCGAGAGCAATCATCGTCGAAATTTTAGAAAAATAAACACAATGAAGAGAAAAAAAACAAATATAAAAAAGTGGAATAAGCGAAATATATTCAAAATAAAAAAGTGAAAATATTTGAAACAAATAAATATTGATACCGAAAAGAAATATTATAACACATGATTTTTGATTTTATAATATTGATATATGCGAAATTATTTGAATCGCGATTCAAATATTAAAATAATTTCATATTTATCATATACAATAAAAAATAATAAAAAAATATTTTCTATTCTTTTTTAATCATTTAAAATCATAAATTAAATTATGTAAATTTTAATATTTCAATAATAATATTTCAATATTTTTTATTTTTATGAAAAGCTTTCACTTTATTTCAAAAATTTAAACATTTTAATTGAAAAATGAATTATATATATTTATTTTTTATTTATATTATATTTTTATTTATATTTTATTTATATTTAGTGCTGTATGAAAAGGATTATTTCTATTTTTTAATTTTTTTATATTTTTATATTTTATATGATTAAATATTATCTCTTTATATCATTACATCATTAAATATTTAATATTTATTAGAATATAACAATTATATTAAATACTTTATAAATAATCATAATATAAATTTTCTTTTTTTTTTGATATATCATATAAATTTAAATTAAATTAATAAGAAGTAATTATAATTAATTTTAACTTTTGAGTAAAAATATTTGTAATTCAGCATCTAATAAATCTACTAATAATTAATAATTTTGAACTTGTACATCAAAAAATGAAAAAAATCATTATGAATTAAAAAAAATATATGCAAAAAATAATAATTTCACGATATGAAATGTCAAAATATATTTTGCACAAGGTTTCAAAATCGTAGTTAAAAAAAATGTTACATTTTTTTCATGAAACATTGATGCAAACGTGATGTAGTTATGATAAAAAAATTGATTCGTGTCATCTGCTATAAATCAATTCGAATGAAAGGGTTGTACAAGAAGAATAATGAAAAAAAATCTATATTTTTTTTAAAATAATATTTCAACAATCATATCGATATAAAACATACATTTTGAAGAGGAAAGTTCGCAGATTCTATCAAATTTTAATCAAATTATTTTGGTAATTTTAAATTGTTTTATATATATTTATATGTTTTATATTTTCAGAAGAAAAAATTGTATTTAAAGTATTACGTTTTATATTTATTTATAATTATATTTATATAATTTTATAATTATATTATAATTACATTTTAGTACAATAAATATTAATAAATATCAGTCCAAAAAAATAGCCAAAAAGAAATCTCTAAATAACCAGACAATTTTATATTAATAGCATATATAATTTTTATAGGATGTAGACATTTTTTGATATACTTCATATATTCATAAATATCCTTTTATAGAAATTATTAGTTCTAATTATAAAGATTAATGCACAAATATATAATTTGTTAATTTAAATATAAAATAGAATATAATAAAATTTAACAAAATATCCATGATATAATAATAAAATTGTTATAAGAAAAATTATGGTTATATTTGCAAAGAGATAAAATAAATTGGTAATTTTATAAATAAATATTTAAACTTGAGTAATTTCTAAATTACTTGTTTGTAAAATGAGTTTTGATTTAATCAATCTAAATCCTAATTAAGGTAGTTAATCGATTTCTCATTGCAGTTTAAATGGCTCATTAAATGAATATTCTTAATTCAAACTTATGATTGTTATTTAAAATATTAGAAATGATTATATGGATTATATAATAGTGTTTAATACTATTCTAACATATTGTGTAATAAGGAAAATATATGATTGAATTTCAACTTTGATAGAGACTAGTAAATTTTAAATTATTTTCGATAATGGAAAATAAAATGAAATTTCATAATATATTCATTTCCAGCATCAAAAATAGCGAACTAATAATAAAACTTAGTGCAGGGATCATTTATTGCTTTTTGAAAATAGTTTAAAAGCTAAAAAAAAAAAAAAAGAAAAGGAATACAAATTTAAAAAAATTTTTTTTTAAAAATTATGAATTATTAATTCTTATAAAAAATAAAGTATTCTTATAAAAAATATAAGTAATTAAAAGAATATAATCTAATGATATAAAAATAAAATAAATATATAAGAAATAAATCGATTTGAATTGTATAGAAAGTTCTGATATTAGATCTCATCGTCGAAAATAAAATAAAACTAAATTCTAAATTCAGAGAAAATGTATTATGAAGTTGGAATTTTTTTTTCGCGTAAAAGTGATTTGAAGGAATAAAAAATAAAAATTGAAAAAATAATGTAAAGAAAATAATAGATATTTTTAAAAAACAATTTACCAGTATTTGTCATCAAATATAATAAAAATTACATGATTTTTTTGTAAGAGACTCAAAACAGGCAAATATGAAAATATTAAAAATATAAAAAATTGACTGAATATACATAAGTTATAAATATGTACAAAAGAGTTGTATGATATAAAATTACAAATTATACATAAATTAATAGCAATAAATTATTCACAGATTAATTTTGTATTCATAAATATGAGTTCCGAAAAAAAAGAAAAAATGGATAAAATATTAATTAAACACAACTTATATACAAAATATTACAATGTTATAAATTCTTAAATCGGATTCTTATTTTTAAATATATTATGTATCCTATTAATATAATGAAAATTAAATATTATATCTTATATATTAAATCTATTTTATAATTATAATTATATAAATCCATGAAATAATTGAAATAATTATTATTTATTGTCACACAATAAATATTTGTTGTTAAGAAAAACAAATGTTAGATGTTTATATTTTTACTTATCATTATGTCTATATATAAAAACTCGAATATCGGCAAATGTTGAATAAATAAATATTAATTAAGTCTTTTTGACAAATTTTAGTATTTATCAAAAATTCAAAACAAAAGTTATAATTTGAACATAATAATTTATATTTTCGTACTTTTACTAACTTTTATGTTAATCTAAATAAATTATTTACCATTAATAAGAATTGTCAATAATAAAATATAAAACTAAACTTGAGCGATTAAAATTATAATAAAAATTTTATTATAATAATAAACAAAACCGATGTTACAATAATAGATATTAAAAATGAGCTTGATATCGTAATTATAACTTCGGCTATTGTAATTTCAATCGCAGATTTCTATTTACGAATTCGAAAAACATATCTTTATATGAAACTTTTGAAATTTCCTGTAATTTAAAAATAAATATTAAGCATAATTAAACTTAATTAATTTTAGCGACAAAAATAGTGATTTCATTTCCAACTTATATCAATATTAATAAATCTTACGACTTATTATTTTTCAATATTTTGGCTTTTATATATAATTTTTAATTTTTAATATCATATCATATATGTATACATGGATAATATAACAATTTATATAAATAAAAGATGTATAGTATGTCGATTTTTTACATACAAATATTTATGAATAAATTAATTATTAATTAATTGTGAAATATTATTCTGTTTAAAAATTTTATTTAAATATATATTTTTAACAAATATAACATATAATATATATATTTAGAGTTTAAATTAATTTATAGTTTGTTTAGCAAATATTTCCGTTCAACAAAAACCATTCTTCATTTACATTTTTAACTATAACATAACTTCGTTAATGTTTAAAATTTATACTCGTTTGATCATAATATAACAAGTGTTTAAAATATTTCTCTCAAAATATTTTATAAACATGTAAATTAACCCGCTTCTGACTTTGTAAACAACATAATTATACTGTTTATCATGGTGATCGCTTTCGTTTTTTTAATATGTAATAATAATATATTATACAGAACGATCCATGTAATTAAGATAAATTATAAAACTTTACGAGTTATCTAATTACAAAATGAAAAATAAAATAGTATAGATGATATAATATGATATGTCAATTATTATAAAAAATTGTAAAATATATTTTTGGAAATAAATATTACAATTTAAAAAAAAGTTTTGCAAACACAATAATTGCTTAATGTTTAAAATAATTTTTATTTATTTGTATCAAAAATATAATTTACATTTTCAATTATACCATAACAACTATAAAAACATTCTTGTAAGTGAAATAACTTCTAATATTCAGATAATAGGAACTCGAATAATTAGATATTTCATTTATACGTTCATATAAAAAGATTTATTTTATATTATCCTGATTTTTTATCGTTATCACTATTTCGAAAAATCTCACACAAAAGAAAACATGGTTTTTATAGTTGAAATATTTCAATTTTTCATTTACATTGCATTCTCTTAATAGCTATTTTTCATATTGTATTTTACACGTTGTATTTTTCTTTCATTTTTTCACATAAATGATAAGTATGCATTATAAATATATATTTTCATAACATGGATTATGAAACATATATTTCTCTTACACAAGTAAAATCACCTAATGATTTTATTTTTGAGCATTACAAGTAAAAACTTTTAAATAAAATATAAAATTTTTGATAATTAATAATCACGTGCAAACAATGAATAACATACACATTGATCATGCGTACAAATTAATCTACTCAAGTAAATAATAAAATTGTAAATATCTCGCATGTCAATGTTTTATAAGAGTAATTTTTAATTTTCACCAACAACGTATCGATTGCATAAATAATGTAGAATGGTATCGACTAGCCGATATAAATAATACGAAATGCTACAAAGTGTCAGATGGAATATACTATATCGTCCTCATAGTATGAATTTTATTTCAACCGTATTTGATAGCTTTACGAGTATAATTCATAATTGAATCGTAATACCACCAAATTAATGTTCATTGCTTTCCACGATATATAATATTTCCAATAATTTTTGTTATTTTATTTAATGTGAATTTCTTTCTTTTTTTAGTTTCTTTATTTTTTAATTTAATTCAATTCAATTAATATATAAATATTCATTTATACGAATGAATTATCGTAAAGATAATTATTTTTAAATTTATTTTTCACGTTTGCATTTGAGCTGAAAATATCATCTATTATAATTTTTTTTACATAAAGGAAAAATAATATGAATAGAATATTTTTTTTTTTAGTATAAAATAGCTTGAAAACTAAACGTATAGTATAATATTTTTATTCTAATTTTTTATTAGAAGCTCACTTATTATAAGTAATATATGATACTAATAAATTCCTCTTTATATTTTATTTTTTACTTTTTGCATTTTGTTTAATATTTATAAATTATATTAAATATAACGTGGATATTAATAAATAGAATGGTGTAATAAAACACAATAATTATTATATGTCCGATTTGATGATAAGTAGATGGGATATCTTGATCATAAATTTTCTTTAATCTTATTCATCAATATTATAATGAAATTAGATGTTTAATTTCTTCAGTTATTAAAGAAAAAATATATGACGTTTATATATATATATATATAAATTATGAATGTATGAACATAGCTAAAAAAAGCAAATATAATTTCATCGCAAAAAATTTATGAAATAATTTCTTCTATCATATCTTTTTTTATTGAGGCATATTTATTTAAGACATATCATTTATGTTATTTTCTATTGATAATAAAAATCATATTCAATATATTTGTCAAATCAATAAGCAATCAATAGCAATTTCATATACATATTTCCAAAATATTCATAACATATGTATCTATATATGTATGTATTTATATCATCAAGTAAATATATTAATATTATATTATACATTATATCGGTGTAATATTATATTATATACTATATACTAATGTTAATCGATTTCATAATCATTTATATATTAAAGAAGTTCATAATTCATAAAAAAATTAAATTCCAAAACATAATTATTTAATGTAATTAAATAATGTAAATTAAGTAATTTAAATAAATTAAATATAATAGATAATAGATAATAGATATAGATACTATAAAATTTTTTTTACAATAATTGAAATAACGTAAATGAAATTTGAGAAAACTTTTTATTTCAAAGTTATAAATAACATAAAATTCAATCAAACTTGAAGTATTAGAATAAAAAAAAAATTATTTTTTTTAACATATAATTTTTGTCAAAATGTTTATTGTTTATTATATTGAAAAAATTTTATTCGTGTTTCCATCATGAAATATATTTTTTTCTCTATCGAATTATCATATTTCAATATCAATGATAATCAACATCGATTAATTCTATTTCTATTACATCGAAATTTCTATTTATTGAATATTAATGGGATAAATGAAAAATATATAAATTAAAAAAATCAATCGGTGTTAAAAATTTAATATATCATCTAAATCAATTATATTATATTATATATATGTATATATGTATATGTATAGCATACGACATGATACAAAAATTTTATATGTATAATATATCATTTATTTTCTGACAAATAAAAATCTTTTATAAAAAATTATTCGAAATCATTATTATTTATTAAA